TACAATCCCATGTTTACCTCTCTACCATTCTCCATCTTTTTCCTCTCTCTCCAGTCCCATTTATTTAGTTTAGTTTTTGGCTTCTCCCTCTCTTTGGGAGGCTTGGGTCCAAAGCTGTCAATAATCTATTGTTCTGTTTCCCTTTGGATAATCTCCCTCCAACCTTTCATAAAGTAAATTTGACAAAGTCCTTCGATTAACAAAGGAAATGCTCAAGTTATCCTAAAAGTATACTTGGTGACAAGTCTGCTAATCACATTGCTCATAAATAAATGGTCCACGAGAAGTGGAGCGTGACTAGAAGTGTGTTGGGGTCCCATGCAACATGAAAACAAAATCTTCTTCCAAGAAGTAAATTTCTTTAACTAAAATTATTGAAAATGGAATTTTTTTCCATGTGCAATAAATACTCAGTGAATTCTCAATGGAGTGAGAATATATTTGGGCTTCAGAGTAGGGTCGACTTCTGCTTCATTTGTAGCAATGGAGAAAATTAAACAAAATGGAACTAAGTGGTACCTAGCAGGTGGTTGGTGAGAAAGACTCACTGCTTCCTCTGCTGCTAAAATTCTCGGGAATGAGTGAGCATTTATATGTAGGGTCAAATAGTAGAATCTTTTTAGACAAATTGAGTAAAAAGAATTTACGTTCAGCTTCAGACATGTGGCTTTGCTATTTGTTTTTTATTACACTGGGTTTGTGTTTGTTTTTTGGAGACAGGCTCTCACTGCATAGTTCAGGCTGGCCTCAAACTCACTTTGTAGCTCAGGTTGACCTTAAACTCAGTGCAATCCACCTGCCTCAGCCTCTCAAGCGCTGGGATGACAGAGGTGCTCTATCACACATGGCTCACTATTTATTTTTTGGCAATTGAGTAAAATATCTGTATGATTGACCGTAGTGGATGATACCAAATTAATTAAAATTACCAGAGACATAACAAGCTCTAGGGATTTTGATTCTAAGGTTACTTCTCTTTATGTTAAACTATGTTAGTAGACAAGATGAAAGATTTTACGAAGTACTGTACAGTAGATGTGTGTAGGAGGTAAAGAATGTTTTTTCCATTTTGGAAAATGAAAACCAGCCACAAAGAAGGTACTTGTTTTAATGTTGGAAGCACAGCCTTGAACGTATTTCCTGTTAAAGGAACTGAAATGCAGAGGGTTAGAAATGTCTGTGCCCCCATTCCTAGAAAATGTTTCTCCGAGGTATTTTCCATAGATGAGAGAATCTTTTCATTCTTATTGTAAAAGTCCAGGAGAAGCTTGAAGATAGCGTAGCAAACAGGAAACAGAGTTCAGTTTGTGGAAAGCTCAGGGAAGAAAAGCAAATCACTAAACATGTGTCTCCCTCTAGACTCTTAAAACACAAAGAGGGTAGAAAAGCAATGATAATAATAATAATGAAAAACTGTCATAGATTCATCAATGGGAATGTGGTATGCCAGTGAGCTGACTGGGTGAGTTTTGAATTTCTAGGCTTTAATCTACCTTTCTACACAAATTGTTCTAAAAAAAATACCCCTACCACTAGTACCTTTCTAATGCTATTTAAAATAAATTCAGAATCTAGTTTCCAGAAATTTGTTAGAAGTTATTCAGCCTAGAATAGGAAAAACTTAGAAGAACTTTAAATTCTAGAACATCTTGTATACACACACACACACACACACACACACACACACACACACACACACAAGAATTTGGACTACTGGGTGTGGTAGTGCATGCCTATAATCTTAGCACTCTGGGAGGCTGAGGCAGGATGATCAAAAGTTTGAGCCTAGCCTGGACAATTGAGACTTTGTCTCAAACTGATAATAAAAAAGTAAGTAAATAAGTGTTGGGATGTAGCTCAGTGTGAAGGCCTTAGGCTCTATCCCCAGTGTGAACAAAAGAAAAAGAAGTGAAGGAAAAGGAAGGGAAGGGGAGCAAAGGGAAGGGAAGGGAGGGAGGGAGAACAGAAGGAAGGACCACAGGGAGGAAAGATGGAAGAGAGGGAGAGGAGAAAGGGAGAGAGGAAGAATTTGAACAAGCTTTGGTCTGAGCAGATCAGATAGAATTGGGACTTTTTTCTTCTTAATTTTGACTAAATAAATTTCTCAAGTCTCACAGTGGTCCAGCTTGTTAGTCTACACACTTGGAGCACATTACTTTTCTATAGCATCAGAAAGATCTGGGGAGACTGAGCTGTTGAGTGATCCATGACCGAACGTTTGGGACCACTAGTAGAACTTTACTTCTGGGGACCTGCTGGAAATTTGAGAGGCTGAGAAAATTGCTCGAGCTACACCCGTACTGCGTGGCTAAGTAGCTGCAGTTGGGAGCCTTTCAACTGTGCAGCGCAGCCAGGACAGCCAGAGAACCTCCGACTCTGGATAGGGGCAAGGGACAGCGTCTAGCAGCCATCTAAGCGCAGTGCTCCCTCGGAGGTCCTGTGTGGAGGGGAGGCTCACACTCGAATACCTCCTTAGCTCTAGCCCCCAGTTCAAGCACCTCCTTGTACTCACCTGCTGTACAATATTAGTTCTTCAATTTCACCGTGTTGGATGCCACCAAAAGGATACTCTGGCCACCAAATTTTCACAAGGAGAAAAAAGTCTCATACAGCCCTCTTCCTAGACCAGGTAGGTAAAGGAGGTACTCTTGATGTTTTCCTGGTGTTCATCGGTTTACAGCCCATTTTCAGGAGGGAAATCATGGAAGGTTACAGCACTAAGCATAGGACTGAAGAAGAGGCGCTGAAGAGGCAAACGGGGCTGAAAACGTCCCTTGCTCCACGGGCCCTCAGTGCTTCCTGACATGGGGTTGGGAGAAGGAGTATATTTATCTTCGCATAAAATCCTCACACAGTCCAAGAGCAATAGGCCAGGAATTTGGGGCTTCGTGTGGACATTGGACTCGAACGGAAAGGCTTGTTGCCAAGGCAAGCCTTGCACCTTTTTCCAATTCGCCAGTAATTACGATGGAAAAGTTAAACTATAGCATCCTTTATCATTTTTTTGCAGGTCCCAAATCCATTGGCCACTTACTCTGTTCTCTGTGGAGGGAAAATGCCCACTTCTTTTCCTAATAATTTAGTTACCAAGGTTGTTTATTGTTACTGTCATTTGTACAAACATTTTTGAGATTTTTTGGCACAGAAATAGTCATTACACTGAAAAAGCACTTCCCTTCAACAACTTCCCTCGTAGATGATGAACATTTTTTTTTTTTTTTTTGTTCAGCTTGTTGCCAAGGCAAGCCTTGCACCTTTTTCCAATTCGCCAGTAATTACGATGGAAAAGTTAAACTATAGCATCCTTTATCATTTTTTTGCAGGTCCCAAATCCATTGGCCACTTACTCTGTTCTCTGTGGAGGGAAAATGCCCACTTCTTTTCCTAATAATTTAGTTACCAAGGTTGTTTATTGTTACTGTCATTTGTACAAACATTTTTGAGATTTTTTGGCACAGAAATAGTCATTACACTGAAAAAGCACTTCCCTTCAACAACTTCCCTCGTAGATGATGAACTTTTTTTTTTTTTTTTGGTACCAGGGATCGAACTCAGGTCCTTGTACTTGTGAGGCAGGCAGCAGAACCACTGAGCTAAATCCTTGGCCTGATCATGAACTTTTAAGGGTTATCTGAATTCAGGTTTAATTTCATAAAAAGGAAGAGAATCTACAGTGTTGATAAGTGTATCACGGCTTCTGCAACACCCTGGTTGGGTAGACACTTCACCCTGGGCTGTGCAAAAGGATTTCTTTATGACAGAGGGCAGCATCTCTGCTGAGGTGCATCAATTTTGAAAGTGTGCTTTTCCTGGGCCCTGAAACCAACAAGCACAATGTCACCATAAAGACGTTACAAGTTCAGGAGATTCTGGCTGAAGTGAAGGCAGAGGATAACATTCACGATGTCACTTTCCTTGGTATTTGTCTTTTCAAATGGCTGGTGAGCGCCTGAATTAGATACCATGGAGGTACTGAAAAGCAGAGATGCTTGCTCCCCTTGAAAAGTTCATTGTCTACTTGAGCAGCTTCCATGTGTCTACCCCATGGACATTACAGCACTGTCCCAGTGGCTGTGGCTTGTGGCACAGGGCAAGTAACAGTTCTAGGTCAGCACAGAGATATTCTCTAGGCAGCAGTCCAAACCCCAGGCAGAAAGCCATCTGCAGGACAGTGGGAGTGGAGCTCAGGGAACTGGCCTAAGAAATAGGAAGTTTTCAGGCAGAACACAGCACAATATGTGACTAAGTTTTTAGCAACAAATTTACCAGATGCATTGTACTTCATCCTTAATCAACAATACCAAAGTATCCTAAGAAATCCTTTCCTGGGGCCAGGGATTTGGCTCAGTGGTTCTGCTGCCTGCTTCGCAAGCACAAGGTCCCAAATTTGATCCCTGGTAACACACACACAGACACACACACACACACACTTTCCTATTTGTTTTCCACCTAAAGAGACTAGGGTCTCTCACTTGGGTACAGAGGGTTCACCTTAAACACTTAAATTGGATCACTTCATGTTGTCAGATTCCTTTTTTCCTCATCTCATTGTGGTCAAGTGTTCAGCGTCATATTCCTTATTACATGGTAAATGAATATAAATACAAAACAAGACCATTGACATAATATTTATGCTTAGGACCATTTAGTAACGCACTACCAATGAATAATCTGATCAGGTACTTCATGTGAACAAGAAACTGACAAGACAGGAAGAAACTCTAACTTGAGATAAGAAATGGCAGGATTTCCTGGGAAAAATTTTTTTTGCAACATCAGAGGTGGTAGAAAGGTCAAATGGAATGAAGATGGAGAACAGAGAACCTTCCTCCAAAATGGTTCCGAAGATCTCACCAAATGCTGAAAGATACTTTCTCAGTTTCCCTCACAAATACAAGAATGCTAACATAGTTGGTCTATGATGTGGAAAAACGAAAGTCAACAAATACCATCATTTCACACAAACCCAAATAGCATAACAAAAATCAAAGTTTTGGGTCATTCTGTTTATTTCATGTAGGACATTCAGTGAATATTAACTAGGGCACTTAAAAGTCATTTCAATTAGGAACCTCTTTAGTCCTTCATCAATTATTTCCAGTATTCTAGTCTCAAATACATCCTTTTCTTCTACAAACTTCTGAAAAAGATGAAGACCTCCACCAACACCAAAATAATGCGCTTTGCTGGCCAAAAGCACCCGTCCATCTTTACTCAACAATTGAAGGAATGTTTGGTGTAAAGCAGTATAATATTCTGGATTATAAATGGTTTCTGAGGTTAGAATGAGATCATATTTTACAAAGAGTTTTTCACTGCTTAATATAAGCTTACAAAACTCAGACCACTCTCCGGAGAAGAAACGACATTTACATAGTTCTTGTGCTACTTCTGACTTCCTCCAGGTTTTCACATCTGGTTCATTTACATCATTTTCCTCGTCTTCCAAGGTGGAGTTAGCCACTACATTAGGTAAAGTCACTTTGTCAATCACCAAACTGTTATAATCTTGAAAATGAATTTCTTTGGCCCCTTCCCTGAATGCAGTTATACCCAGTAACCCTGATCCACAGCCAAGATCCAACACTTTTTTCCCAGTAAATTTAACTTTGGCCTTTGTGAAGTAAGCCAGAAGGTCAAAGGTACATTCCCAGATTTTTAAGCCTCCTTCATAAACACCTGAAATCAGATCAGAGTGGGAAGACAAGCTTTTGGAAATTATGTTTTCTCCAGGGAAGTTTTCTTTCGACCAGATGGTTTTCACTACGGATAGGTTAACACGCTGAAGACCTGGTAACATTTCTATGACTTTATTTTCTAACACTTTCTTTAAATCCTTAGGCATAGTATGCTCTTTGGCAACTCCCAGGCAGGGCTGCTTTTCATGTGGCTCCAGGGCCCTAAAACTATTGGCTGCACCAAGTAAGCTGTCAGGGTCTCCAGAGGGAGCTACATTTCTCACTGACCTGCGCTCCCACAAGTGTTCCTTAAGCAGGTCAGATTGTTTTGGAGAACATCTCCTCTCCTTCTCTTTTCCTTTTTGACTTTCTGAGGCTGACACTTTTGAGGGATCCAGAGTCAAAGCTCCATCTCCAGGCGGTGTTAATTCATTTTCTACTCGGTCTTCTACATTGAAATTAAATTGAAAGGTCATCTTCGTACTAAATGCATACAGTCCTCAAATTCAAAGGGAGGCGCTTCAACTTCTGGATAAAATCTGATGACACACAGAAACCTGCCTCAATTATTCCATTATGCCCACAGGGGTCGATTTGTCTTTAGCTGCTTATAGACCACTACAAACATTTAGAGATGTTTCCAAAGACTTTTAAAAGAAGTTTTTGATCTCTTTCATTTGACCCTGGAGAAAAAAAAATGCGCAATTAAATCAAAATAGCACATTTCACTAAAATTTACTTACCCTACCCTTTACTTACCCTACCATACAGCTGCCTTTTCTAAAACAGCTGTGGGGGGAGAGAAGAGATTTGGGAAAACATGCACAAATCTTAAGGGTTCAAAAACTGGAGAAGATAAACTGTAAAAACAAACCAAACAACTACAAAACAATAGAGCAGCCACCTCCACCACTACTATGTCCAAGATTTTGGGACAGGGCAGCCTAACCACTTGGTATCCTTTAACTGTCCTATGCCCGAGCGTGCGCACCCCCAGAAACTCCATAATTTCTGTTACTGCCTCAAAACAGCGAAACTCAAGATTGTATTTTGGTAAGTGAATATCGCTTTTAAAATATGCATTCACAGGCATGGATAGAAGTGTGTAAATTCAACCAAATGACTTCACTACAAACGTCTGGTCCAGACTGGCAGCCCTAGTATGTGACTAGAGTCATCTGGGAATAATTAATAGAAATTAATTTTGTTGTTAAGGGACATGGCACTAACTATTTTTACAGGAGGGAGGACTATAAGAAGTTTGTGTGTGTGTGTGTGTGTGTTTTGTTTTTTGCAGTACTACGGATTGAACCCAGGGCCTTCTCATTAAGTTCAATAAACTCTTTGTTATTAAGTTTTAAAATTCTGAGACAGAATCCCACTAAGTCGCTAAATTGCCTAGGCTGGGCTCAAACTCACGACCCTCCTGCCTCAGCCTCTCAGTGCCTGAGGTCTGTATCACCTGTTCGATCTGCACAGAAGTCTTGACGGGTCTTTATTCTGCCAACGCCTCCCCTTACCCCATGAAAAAGGGGTGCATACCCCCATTTCCACCTCTCGCAATGGGCTGGGAGCCACTTCTTGGATGGTCCCGGTCAAATTTGACCTTAGAAGAACTCAAAGCTCCATGGGGCTGACGCTTGCAAACCTGGGTACCTCTGGCCCTCACCTCCTCGATTTTATTGAAGATCTCAATAAAAACTGCAGCGACCCCAGCCCGGGACTCACGCGGTCGGGAGAACCCTGGAGTCATCCGTCAGAGAGTTCGCACCAGTGAGTCGAGTCCTCCCGGGAGCCAGACAGGCCCGGTTGATCTCTTGGCCGCAACGGCAGCCAGCCGGCTTCCTCTCTATGGTTCAGTCCTGACGGAGGGCTCGCAAGGCCTGCCGGGAGCTCCGAGCTTCCGGCTCGGGCTGTGGCGGGAAAGGTTTGAAGTTGGCGTCGCAGGTGACAGCATGTCTGAGGAACGCGCAGGCACCCTGGAGGAGATAAGCAGTTGGCCGGAGGAGCTGTGTCGCCGGGAGCTGCAGTCTGTTCTGCCCCGGCTCCTCATATCCTCGGTGGTTACTTGTCGCTTCGCGGGGCCGCGTGAGTGGCGGCGGCCGGACCCTGTCTACCCGGGGCGAGAGGGGCTGAGCGTCCGCCAGGCCGGGGCTTCGGCTCTGGGGCGCGCAGACCTGTGAGGCTTTGGCTGGGCGCGGCGTTTTCCCCCAGTCGGTGGTTTCTGTGCGCTCCTTACGTCCTTGTTGGGGATCGTGCGGGAGGCGGTGACAGACCTGAGCTTGAGAGGTAACGTGAGAGGAATTCTCTGAGCTTTTACAAAACATCCGCGCACTGAGTGCGGAACTGGAGTCCCGCCATCCACGGTGTTGTGAGAATGAGAAAACAGTTCTACTAAGGTGCCATATCTTTTTAAAAGATACGTGTTTTCCTCCTTACTCTCTTGCTTATTACGAATTGCTTCAGGTGTTGGCTTTCATCTGCTTCGTTTTTGTTTAACTAACATTTAATTAATACTTCCTATGTGCCAAGTTCTGTGTTAAGTACTTTCACCGGTTTTGTCCTTTGTTGCTTGTTTGTGGTGCTGGGGATCAAACCCAGGGCCATGTGCACACTGAGCTAGCGCTGTACCCCTGAGATACATTCTCAGTCCTGCATTTGAGTTGTTTCATGTCTCTGTTGCCAAGCCCAGACAGTTCTCTGTATGTCTGATGCCCTTGTGGTTGTCATTGTGCCTGGAGTCCTAACCTCTTCCGTCACAAGGTACTTTTTCCTTTACATCCTTGAGTACACTTTCAACATAAAATTATACTGAAAATGAAAAAAAGTGTAGCTAGAGAGAATCTCAACACTGCATAGTTTTTCACAGTGAAAGCCCAATATAACTAAATATTATCACATAGAAATTATTCACCTAGACACTAGCAAAATGTGGTACCAAAGTCCTGCTCAAAACCTCTTATTGTGTACACAGCCTGTGCCAGTCATTGTGTTCGCTTTATGAGCACAAAAATAAGGAACATGGTTCCTTTTCCTCCCCTCAGGTTGATGGAGACTTCATTGAAAGTTAGCATTCCCGCCATGCTTTGGTATCTCAGATTTAACATATACAGGAGAACTAAAATTTGTTCTTCGAGTTTTCTTGACATAAGTAAATAGTTTTACAAACCAAAACCTTAAAAAACAAAACAAAACAAAGAACCTAAGAGAAATACAAATTGAAACCTTGAGTTCTATCTTTCATCTTATGAAATTGTTTCTGACTCCAAACTTGAGTCAGTATAGTATCTCCACCCCTGTTGCTACCACACTGATTCTAAACTCCTACCACCTCAATTATTATTAGTCGTTTCCTTATTTTACTCATGTCTTCTTATAATCCATCCTTTAAAAAAAGCTTGGAGTGAAAAGCAGATCCTAGCATTTCCCTTTTTAAACCCCATGACTTAATTGGGAATAAAATCTTGATTTACCTTCAAAGCTCCCCATCTGAGTCTTGTCCTTCTCTCATACCTAGCTAACACAGTATCCACAGATACCATCAGGCTTACCTGCCTAAGAATCTTTGTGCCCAGCCTCGTTTATTTTGAACATCTCATCATTCAGGTCTTAGCTCACATGTTACCTCCTAAAAGGTCCTTTTTAGAGCTCTCCATCTTAGGTCCCCAGACCTGGTCTGTTACACTTTTATCTCATTGCTTTGTTTAGAAAGCATTTTATCATTAAATAATCCTCTCCCTGCACTTTTCCTCACTAGACTGTGAAGTTAGAGGCAGGAACTTGGTGTTGTTCATTTATCCTCAGCATGAAGACAGTGGCTGGCACTTAGTAAGAGTTTGGTAAAGGAACAAAAATATTTCATGGTTTAAAATGATTGAAAGTGTTAAGTAATATATTTTCAGCATATGGTACTATTTTATCTTCTCTGCTTGAAGTAAATGAAGGAAAAGTCCACGGTCTTATATAACCTAATACAATTATTTTCATACTTTGTGTTTTACATATTGTCTGGTCCTTATGTATGTAATTATAACTTATGATTACTTGTGGAGTAAGGAGAATCTTTTTAGGCTTTACTGAAGTTTTTCCATAAGGCAAATTCTATACTACGGAACTCATGAATTCATGACTGTACCTCATTGTGATTGCTGTTGGGAAAATATACACAAAGCAAGATTTCAAAGGAGAAATCAGTACTTGTGTTACAGTGATAGGTTTTATGGATTTGTATTTCCTGTTAACATTCTTTAATGATCCCTATGCTATTTTTACAGTAAAACATTTCTAGCAATTCTTAATGATATACAACTTTTGTTTTAAATGTAGGGTAATTTCTGGTAAGGCTGGTATGATAGGAGTGTGCACAACTAAAAACTTAAGATGGGTACAAATAAAGTAGAAATGATGAAGAGAGAGAAATTTTTACCCAGTAGTAGAGACCAGGAATTCTTGGATTAATACAGCATTGTTACCCATCTGTCAAAAATATTTTAGACTGGCCATGGTTCTAAAAGGTAGTTTTATCCCTGAGTAGTTTTGAAAATATTTCCCTAAAGTATTTTCACAATACTATTGTTAACCTAACATTAAAGTTTTAAAATAAAAGTAAGCCAGTATTTAAGTCTAATTTTAGTCTCATGGATCTTTGCTAAATTTTAAGAAGGGTCCTTTTTGAATTTTTTATCAGGAATGAATATTCTGTTACAGTGATACTAGTATCTTCCTTAATTATTTTACTCTATGTATCAACATTCTGAGAGTTGGGTTGAGCATATCCGTAAGTAAAAATTATTTTGATTATATCATATACTTTGATGTCATTAAGTTCAAAGTCCCACACAGATCAATGAATATGACCTTACTGTTTTTTATTCCCTTCAACTTTAATCATTTTTTGTTACAGCCTCTGCAACCTTTAATTATTGAAATGAGAAAACCTTCAAAGCACACTGCTTAATGTCACTTGAAGAAACTTGACTTTATTTTCATTTGACTTTTATTAGTCTTCCTTAATTTACTCTTTTAGAAGAGAAGAGCAAGTTAAGACTGTTGATGGCTCAGTTACTCACATTTTGAGTTAGCTTATTCATATTTCACTTGTTTGTAGAATAGTTGTTTATAATTTTGCATCTGAATGGCCTCTTGGGGTGTAATTTTTTCAAGTAAAAATTATTTTTTATCTTGAGTATAAAAGTGGTGCGTATTCATTGTAGAACATTGAAACATGAAGAAAATCAGAAATAGTTAAGATGGTGAGAATGGTCTCATTTTTGTATGTTCTTTTTGGCCTATCCTGTGTGTGTACTTGTTTATGTTAAATTGGGATTATACTATTTTGGAATATTTTTGTTTAAGCATGAACTATAGTGAACTTTTAAAAAATGCTTTTAAATATTTTAATGACACTAGAGCTGTTTGACAGATATATCCATGTCATTTTAACTAGTGTTCAATTACTGGGTTTATAGACATTTTTCTTCCTTTTCTTTTGCTATTAGATACTACTGTGTAGTTTCTCTATAAAGAATTTAGCATTTTGAGTCTGTACAAAGCTTCAGATTGGCAATACATATTCTCATGTTTGGTTAAAGACAATTACATATAATGACTTATAATGACATATAATTTACAAAATGTTATTTTGCTTTATAGAAATTTTGAAAATTATGATAGAAATGTTTTTACCTCATATGAACCACTTGACATTGGAACAGACTTTCTTTTCACAAGTGTTGCCCAAGGTATAGTACTGCTATCTTAATCTACATGTTATAGAGGTTCTTAAAATCTAGTCTGTTTTATATTATTTAGTCTTAATTGTGGCTCTGTATTCTATTTTATCAAACATACCTGAAGTATAAGTAAGTAGTAAATAATAGATCTCGTGTGTATGTGATGTTGGTGTAATTATTAGGTGATTGAAAAACTTCTGTTTTCAGGTTTTACTAATTGATGAATCCTTTACTAATTGAATTTGAATTATTTGTAGTTAATCTAAATACTCGTAAAGGTACTCAATGAAAATTTGGGATGGATTGTAAAAGTTACCTAAAGTCCCTTTATCATCACTGTAGTGTTTATTAATAATTGGTTAATTTCAGTGTTGAGAAAAATGGAACCAAAAATTTATTAAAGAAGTCTTAGAAGAGAAAAAGGTAGTGTTTGTAAAATCAAATAACTAAAAGAAAACGCTAAATTCACAGACTGCCTTGTTAATTTTTACATATACTGTTTCTCTGAAAAGTATAGCATCTTTTATTTAGAAGTGGAAGAAACTAAAGGTACTTTCTGCCAAAATGAAAAATTTATTTATGATAATTTACTGGCATGGATTTCTAAGTTTAGCTTTTAAGTAAATAACCATCAGAATTCTTTTTACTTCATCTGATTGTCTGAAAAGTTTCCTAGAATTTGTTCTTGACCACCAAAAAAAGACACATAGGTGAAGATAAAGTTGTGAGTGCTAACTGGCCTGTGGAAAACAGTATCCTCTTTAATATATTGTGTGGTCTGCATTGTAATTTTTTAATATTTATTCAAACCATAGAAATGGAAGGTAAATCAATTTCTGAGGCTTTTTTTTTTTTTTGGAGGTTGCATTATGTATACTTTTTA